AACGGAAGGTTAATGGTAAACAGAAGTTGATTGTTCACTTTTTCACTGAAATAACTCTATCTGACCTGTTCTTAGAAGCAGTGAAATAAAGGATAATGGGAATCCTATACACCTGACTTTTTACTTTAGCCTCTAATCAAGGGGACTAATCAGACCAAGATGTCTTGGCATGAAAGCAAGTATTTGACGATACAGAGGGGGAGGAGAACAACTTCTGTGACCATATTCTGATTCATCACGGACAAGCACTGTAAAACTAGTGGAGCATTAGAGGATATAAACCATAGCATAGTACGTCCTTCTCTATCATGTGAATTATGAATGCTATCTCCAAAGCAATGTGAAGATAAACCACAGTTTTCATGTCATGTGTGAAGTGCTCACACCCAAACATCAGCATTTTAACGTGATAATTTTATCAGTTATTTGCTGGCTTTTATTTGACGTGGTATTCTGCAGCCTCACTAAATACAATCTTTCTGCAATTGTATAAACGATCTTCTCTTGTTCAATGAATGCCCCCAGACTAAAGTGAAGAGGACAGATGAATTAAGATGCAAGCCCAACCACACTGAAGGTCCAGTTTGGACTGGAAAGAGAAGAGAACAGCGGTTCTCTTCAGGATTGTCTCTGCCCTGACGGCGGGGCGAGGTGACAGCCACAACTGGGCAGGTTGGAGGTCCTCAGAAACACTGAATGTTGGTGGTTTTGCCTGAGTCTCATCACTACCTAGCAGCTCCCATCCTCCAATGCTCAATTAGCATAGGGCTGTGCTCTTTGCTCTGCTATGGAGAGTGCAGTGGTTGTCTTTTTTATTTTGACAAGGAATCTCACTGCGAACAGTTTTCTGTTTGTCTGACCCTTCCCCATAGCAGCTCACCATCCTGGTGGGATAGATCAGAAGATGAGCTGCAGCAACTTGAATCTCAAACGGTAAACAGATGCTGAGTGGAGGTACACAGTCCACAGGGGTGTGCTAGAGCAGAGGTGGAGACTGAAGCTGGGGATCAAGCTTTCTCATGCCTGTTGCTACAGTGGAACTGTAACAACTCTGTAACCATCGAGCAAGACAACAGTGGCCAGCTCCTAGCAAAAAGCTGAGGACCAGCTGTCGGGGCATGAAGGCAGTTAAGGAGCCAGCATTAACTTTGCACCAGGCAGTAACAATTAAGGGCAAGATCCTGACCTGCACTGTACAAGTTACTGCTCAATGACTCCCATATGAGTTCAGTTAATAAGTTGTGGCCTTGAGAAAGCACTTCCCTCGCACCTCATGTGCGTCTCATCTCATTTCTCTTCCTCTCCTCTCATCCCAGCTCAGAAGTCAGCTCCTGGGCTAGTTTAATCTCCGTTACATTAGCCCAAATTCCACTACATGACGTAGGACTAATCATCACTGTGTATATCCAGATGATAACAAGACAACTGATCCAGCTATTTACTATGTTACATGTTACCCATCCTGAACAGCTTCGAGTCGGTGATTACCCATGGCATTCCTATTTACACTTTAGATAATCAGAATCTGATGTAAAGCTCAGAGCATAAACATGATGCCTTTAATATCTACTGTACTGAGATTAATATTATTTATTTACATAACCTTTTAAAAAGAAGAAAGCACCTACAGGATAAAATATTTTCATATATGAAGACATGAATAAAGCATTACAAAATCATTTCTAATTACATTGCATAACAAAGCAGTTCTCTATCAAATACGTAAAAATGGCCTTTACCTTTCATCCTTCAAACTACAGAAACAACAAAAGTTTTTCATTTTCTGCCAACATTTTCTTTCTGTCAGTGTAAACTCAACTCTGGATCAGATTTTTTAAAGAAAGCCCTTGCCTTGAGCATTTCATTTGTATTGGTTCCGTGTTTAGTCAGTAGCTTTTGTAAAATTGATGAATATTGTCTAAAGGCAAGTGCAGACAGGCAAACAGATCTGTATCTTCTGTAATCCATTTAGCCTGACGCACATGTGCAAGTGAACTATTTTACCTTAATTCTTTCATGGCTGATGAAAAGTAAATGTAAGCAAAGTCGTGAACTTCACCATTTAAAAAGAATCACTGAATCTAATGTTAGAAGCTAATTCATGCTCTCACCTCTTCCCTGAAAAAACCTGACCTTGGTCCTCGTGCCCCTAGAGCATTCAGACTTGGCAAACAGTTGCTGTATACAGAACATCCATTAGAGGCTGTGTCTTTCAGCTCATCACAAATGGAAATGGGTTATCTAATGCTGGAATAGAAATGGATTGCTCAAGTATCATTGCAACATGAGTTAAATTATAACTATTTGAACAAAATAAAGAAAACTTCAAAGTATTTGTCTGCTTCTAGTAGGTAACCCAAACACAGCAATAATTTACACTTGATCTCTCGGGTTTTTTACAGATATTTAACCATATTCTCCTCTTGGGGTATCTTTTGGCGTTACTACATGCTTTAAACTGTTCCATCAACCTTACTCATGTCTTTGCTATCAACTCCTGTGGGTTTTCGAGATATGAAACCTTCTTCTGTATTTCAACTGAACTCAATCAAGTTACACTGATTTAGATGATGTGAGAATGGAATGCAACACAGAGCATTAATCCTCTTTAACCACTTGATTATCGCTATTTCGCCAGTGAATCTTAGGTCTTATTCATTCCAGAGGTGTTCATTTGTCTATGTCATTGCCATCCACGGCTTAAACGAGTGCTATCTGACTGCACCAAGACTAGCACTAGTTCAGCTAATTCACTAGCTTAAATCTTCAGCATTGACAAGAGCTAGAATCATGTATTTTTACAAATTCTATTATTACTGCGAGCAGTCTCCTAATAAAAGAAAAAAACCCAGTGTTTTTTTTTTCACTGCTGCTGGAAATTATTATTTGCCAATCATTTTTTAATAGCTGTGCCTCTACTTCGGCTACAAACTACAACACTGATGTGCCTTCTCTACCCTTTATGGCTGTCAGATTAATTTCAATACTGTGATCCCCATGATTTCTAGCAGCGCTTAATTAAACGCAAAATAATCATAAAGTAACAGCATAAACAAACAATCCCCTCAAACGCTGTGTTAACAGTGTTACATCATTAGCTTCTTTGAATTCATCTTGCTCATTTCCAAAGCAATATCTGTTTCTGTGAGAACTGCCTTTTCAAAAGCAGAATTCCCACATCTTCAGCTAGCTTTTCTCTAAGCGATCTCCAAAGTAAACAGTATTTAGTGTGGCATTAATCCAAATACACGCTATTTGCCCACTGGTAAAGCCAGCTTTAGCTAGTGCAGCAAAGAAAGAGCTATGCCCACAACACAGTATTTCAAAATATTAAGAAATCTGTGGCACAAAAGACAACAGATAAATGTATGGATCAAGGTTATAATATAATCAAACCTAGTATCAATAATCATTTATTCCTCAGAGAGTCTTTACATTCTACAGGGTGGCTAAAAGTTTTAGCAGAAGTCCAGGACTACAATGAAAATGCTCGATGCAGGTCTTTATACTTTTGCTGGCATAGCCATGCCAAAGGTGTTAAGAGGTATAATCTCTACTTGATATAATTGTCCTGGCAAAAGCTGGTAGGTGTGGACACAGCTTTATACCACTAAAACTGAATTTTTGCTGGCACAGCTTCTTTAGCTCCAGGGAGGTCTGGCATATGTTATACTGTCAAAAGCACAATTTTCGGCCGTACAAGCCTCACCCGCACACAGAGCACTTTGCCAATATGATATGCTGGTATGCTCTGGGTAAGCCTGGCCTCAACAGTGATTTAAACAGAAGATTAACACAGAAGGCGTATTCATTTCTTGGTGGCAACGTCAAGCTTTGAGTTCTACTGTTTTCTTTTGTAGTGGTAATACAGACTGAGTGCTGTTTCACCACAATACGATTTTCTTCTGCTTTTTATCACGAAAGAAAAGGCGTGCACCAGCTCAAGTTAAAATAGCAACTTAACCAAAGAAAAAAATCTCTCTTTCTTTCAGGAGTGGCCTGTATCGTCCAGTGCAGAATTGTTCTTTTTATAGCATGTTATTACAAAACAGATCGCAAACAACTTCATTTCTCATAGTCCTCTAGTTTTGTTCTCATAGATCTCACCAGATCAACACAGGTGCTGCAATGCCCAGTATCACACAGCCTAAATCTAATCTGTCAGGAGACCTGACACCCCAGGTGGAAACTCTTACTTAGGTCTATCAGCTCTTTAGACAATGCACCAGAAAACCTGGTCTCTGGATAGGATTCACAACACGCAGACACAAAGCAATGGTTAGGAGCTGACTTCTGAGTTCCAGGGAGCCCAGGAGCTGTCAATTCACATTTGAAATCTCTCCCAGTAGTACTCAATTGCCACGATGAAAACCAGCAAGAAAGTCTTGGGATCTATGTCAGGATGCTCCTCCAGAGTTCTTAATCTGAAAAAATGCTCTAACAAGGAGCCATTGCACAAAGGACTTTCTCCACCATCTCCTGTACCTCTGTCTATTTTAGCGGATGAAGAAATCACCATATTGCATGCAAAGCTCTATCCTGGAGATCTCCAGCAGGCCCACCCCAAGCTGGCCTCTCATTAGGACACCCAGACGGGGGATTCTGCTTTGACACAGGTGTGAGCTATGTGTTGTGTTGCTCAAACCTGTCAAGCCAGAGGCAGCTCTACACACTCACGGAAGCTGAAATTAAGACATCAAGGGAACTCTTGGAAACACGGATATCCAGGGGCTGTAGAGTTCATGGTAATTCAAGTGAGAACTGAGGCTGGTGGTGCTGGACTTCAGGTCTTAAAAACCACCGGTTTCTGTAGATTTGGGGCCTGCTCTTTTTTGTTATGAGACAGTAACTAAGGTACTGTGTGACGACCAGTAAAATCTGCATTGACACACAAAATAACACATGATCAAGGAATCACAAAGCTGAAAAGATTTATTTTAAATGAAAAGGCTTCTCTCCAAATGATGCTCATCAACAGTTCTAGGCTGGAAGGTCACCTTTTACTTTATCCACTGAACAAGATTTTGTAGATTAGCAATTACTTCTTCAAGATCATATGGCAGAGGCATATTACATTCGTCATCTGTCCAGAAGGGATAGCATTCTGGTTTCTGGTCTTCTGGCAAGCTCTCTGCCACTGCTGACTGGCATCTGAAAAGAAAAGTAAGCAGACGAACTACTTAAGTAAAACTGTATCAAGAAACTGAATACTCAGCAAGGACACATTTGTGCATTAATTTAAAGAGAAAGATGATAATAAAAAAGAAATACCACATCTTCTGACCAAATGGATTGTTCATTTACAGTGAAGTTGATTTCTGCTGTAGGCTTCGTATTTTCTATAGGGATTTCTCAAAAAGCCAATCACAGAGAAAACTCAGTTAGTGTACCTTCATATGGTGAATTATTTTTTCATTATCTCTGCTGTTATTTAAAGTATGTGGTTAAACCATTATCAGATTTGAATGTTTGCCGGTTTCCAATGTATTACTAGATTATTGAGAAAGATTAAACTGAATTTACTGCATTAAGGTCAGGGGGGATAGATTAAACAACATTAAAGAAGGCGGACTAGCTTTGTAGATTCTGGAGATTTACAAGTGTTTCAACCTGCTTAGCTCTGAAAAAGGTAATATAAAAAGAGAAAATTGTATAAAGATAAATGAAAATGGAGGTTAATAACAACTTCCAATGATGAATAGGTGGGCAAAACTTCAATAAAATTAAATTAAGAGGTTAGTGTATGTTAGTCTCCAGAGAAAGTGTTTAAATTACAGTGTTTTTATTAAATGGATTATTCATCAATACTAGTGAAGTCTAATTATAATATTCAACTGAACTGCAGCCTGCAGAGGAAAGTTTTATAAGTGGCAACCATCACATCTCTTCAGATTTGGCTTTAATACACCACACTGCATCAAAAAAATCGTCACAGTTCCAAGCAGGATTTCTCCCCCTCTCTTTTCCCCTCACCTCAAGCAATTTGCATGTTGCTGATTAATTAATGTTTGCAACAGGACAAGACAAAGAAAAATGCTACGCATTGCTATAATTTTGGTATACACTGCAGGTCCACATAGTTGTTCAAAGTCATAAAAAGCGAATTGTAGAAATACACTTATGTCCTGTAAGACATTTTTTATAACTCATGTTCTATAAAGCACATAATTGTAACAATTCTAAAGTTGTTTTAAACATATATGTGTCTTTCACCTCTGTAAAATGAACTCTAAAAATACTGAGACATGTAACTAACTCCCTTGTCTACACCGTCGCCTTCTGGAAGAGACTGTTTCCAAATGAAAGATGTCTTCTTCTCTTGGGAATTATTAATGGCAGTGTAATCCCCATGAGAAAACATACTTCAGCTTTACACCCATGTTGGTGTGTGGTTAATTGCTGCACCAGCATCCTGGGCACTCAATCCATTGTACATTACACTACAAGGACAGTATTAACACATAACATTCCAATATATCTTCAGCTCTCCACATCAGCCCCTGATAATAGCATCTGTTAACATGCACTAAGTACTATTATGTAGCACATCACTTCATAAATAATAAGATTAGCCGACCTCAGGGCCCTGGGAAGAGTAATGTGTTTAAATGTTCTCATTATTTATTTAAAACAAGAATTAAAGGAACAGAAGCTACTTGTGACAATCCTCTTAGCATAAATATTAAACTGTTTGCATTGATAAGCTGCACTGTACAGAATAACAGAGGATTTGTTTTGCTGGCTGCTTTATAATAGTTGTTAGAGCAAATGCAGTTTAGTGTACGAGCTCTGAGAGGTACTTAACTGATTGTGCCATCATGTTCTGAAGACATTTTCCAAATTATATAAAAGAACAGGAGAAAATTAATATGCAGTGGAAGCTGAAACTAATTACAGCATAACTCTATAAGGCTTTTAAAATCTTGCTTTATTTTCAGTCTTGGCACAAAATAATACGCTGAATTTGCTGGCTAGTGTAAGATATTCCAGTTTAAGCATTTCAATCTAAAAGTGGCTAAATTAACCGTGTAGAGATTATTGCAGATGACAAATCAAGAAGCTCAACTGGTAAATACTGCAGGCATATTATCTGGTCTGCAAAACTCAGCTCACAATAATAAACATCCTCTCTCTCACACATCTGCTATTAACAACAGAATTTTCACTGAGAGGAAAAACATACCAACTTTTTGCTTCTTCTCCATTGCAGGGTCCTTTTTTTCACCTTTAAGGTCTCTTTTTTCCCCTCGCTCTCTCGCACCAACTGACTGACCAGCTTTTCCCTCACGTTGGGGTTTGGGCATTGGCATCACTGTAAATGTGTCAGCAGTCACAGTGATGCTGTGACTGAACAGCCCATGAGCAACTATTCTCGTTGCTCCTTTCCCTGCTCTATTTTTCTTACCAGGAGAGCTTTCTCTGAAAGGTCACCCCACAACCAAGCATGCACCTGAACGTCCAGGCAGTCACGCACTGGGAAGCTTTAGCCATCAGGGGTTAGGGAGATGGAAGCATGTCAGGCCCTCGGTCTTCCCGTGCAAGTCTGATGACAGAAACGCACCAGTATGTTGCAAAAGTATAAAAAGGGGAAAAGCAGCTCCTTAATATTCCAAGTTCTGCAATCCCATAGCTCCTTTGTATTTCTGTCCAGGATTTCTGTTGCTTTGCTTTGTATCCCTAACAAGAACAGCTCTGAACACTACATTTTCACATTTTGTGAGTCACCCATTTCGACCAACATGACAATCCCTGTGCCAGATCCACCGACATCAAAGTCAACTCAAGCTGCTCATGTTTAAAGACCCAGGGCTGGGTTGCAAGCAGTCACCACTGCACCTGGCAGCTCATTAAGCAATCCACCTGAGTGGCATCCACAAGCTTGAATGCAGCCACCCAAATACGTACTTTCTTACTCGGAGTTAGCGTGCAAGAACAGCCCTTTACAGATGAGTATATTACTATTGATTTTAATAAATATCTGTGGGAGGAAATATTCCTACAATAGTCTTGAATTTGTAGCAGAGTAACAGACTTGAAGATCCTGCAAGAGGGCAACAACATTTTTAACTGAAGCAGAACACAGGCACGTAAATAACTGCACAGAATTATTTCGGATTCCTTTGTATCTCAGTAAAGACAGCAGCTAACATCAGTTAGCAATGATAATTCAGAATAAACAGAAATTCCCTTCTCCCAGATACAAAAGAATTTATGAGGCTCAGTGTGGGAAACATTGCAAACATCGAAGTACGGTGGTAATGGAAAAGTCCCACGATTTATAATATAAAGTTAATTAAAATATTAGATATCAATTAAAAACTGTTACTTGAGTTATTGAACTCAAATCTCCAAAAGAGAGTAGATCTAATCTGTGTACATTGTGTGTACAAAATGTGGTAAGAGTGGAAATAACACATGCTCTGAGACACAGAACAGACACCAAATCAAGAGGCATCTTTCATACCTTAACTGCAGCAGGACAGAAAAACTGCCATGACACATTTCAGAGCAATCTAGCTCCAACACCTTGACAATACACGTTCACCAACGTATTAAAGAAAGGATGATTTGTCTCCAGATGGACAGAATGCACAAAACTCCATGGTCCCTACCTTCTTGCTAAAACAATCAAGACAGTGTCAATTAAAAAAGCCCATTTTTATGGAACAATTAGCTACTGTTGTGGGGCACCTTCTCACTACCTCTCCCCTGTAAACATCACAGATTTTTGCCCCCCTTTTTGTCCTTTTTTGCCAAATGGGCTTTGCTCTGTAATATTTACCAATAGCTGAATATTAAGGTGAGCTCCACAAGGTCGTGACAAAACATCTGCATAACCATACGGCTGGTTGTACGACGACATACAACCCTCTGCCTTGTAAGGTGGCTGATTTCACCACGGGCAGGTGTACACTCACTGAGACAGGCAGTGACCTGGTTCTGGTCCCCTGGGCTGTGCCGACGTTTTGACGATCAGGGTGTCAGCTACATTAGAGGACACTGATCATGATGCTAAAATTAACCAAGCTAGCTAAAGTGTGTGTTAATTATGAGTATGCAAGCAGTCAATAAAAGGTTAATGCAACAGTCAAAGGATAAATTTATTTCAGTATTGCATCACTCTACTGACTAAATGACTAACATTATGCTTTGTTTTTAATCGATATGTTTTACAGTAATGCGTGAGCCATTGATTTGAAAAACAGTTGTCTTTCTAACAGTTAAGTTTTGCAACTATTAAGTATCAAGTATCAATATACTTCAAGCACTCTTTTTTTCAGAGTAGAAAATTTTTTGTTTACCTAGGAACCTAAATAAGGTACTGTGAATTAGGGTCCTTGGGTTCTATTGCACTGTTTGTCTACTCCACAGCAGTGCAGTCACATCAGATCAATAGGGGTCAATTGGTGGCTCAGACTGCACAGGCGTGTAAAAAGTGAAGAGATTGTATGAATAGTCCAGTTTCCGAGACGGTACAAATCTCACTGCCTGCGCCTGGCAGTTCAAAGACCAAGGGAGATCACGTGGAACTTCATCAGGTAAGTCCAGGAACGTGGGTCTGGCTGTCTTCCCCATGTACTGATATGGTCAGAAAGGGAGGATGGCATATTTGCTCTGCATGTACAAAAGTGCACACTCGCCTTTCAGCATTCCTGAAATTAGTATGTTTTATACACTATTAGTATGTTTTATACACTATTCCCTCCCTCCACTCATGCTGCAATGAAGGTGTTACCGAGCCGTTATTCAGAACTTCAGAGTATCTTTTAAACGAATGGCCCAGGTAAAAACAGGCCTTGGCTCACCCCACAAATGCATTCATAAATCCCATACTGACACTGGTTAACATGATCCAACGCTGCTAACATGGATGCTGTTCTGAGCATGCATAATAGCTTCGTTAGACAGCATCTTCCATTCTTAAGATTCACAATGACTTTGCCAACTTGGGTCTGATCGAACGTGGCTTATCATTGCTCCAACACAGAGCCCTGCTGCGTAAACAAAATCGTAACAGTACAAACACCTGGGACACAGAGTTTTGCTTGCAGGTTTGGGTTTTTTCATCCTCATCCTTCAAACCTTTCCTCTGCCTGAAAATTGTTATGCAAACTATGTGTAGTTACTCTAATCTCAGTGTTAGGATTATC